TATGTTTTAAAAAAAACCCACCTTCACTCTTCCCCAAAATGTTGTGCTCCGGCTTTGCCAGAATTTCCACAGTACTATAACAAAGCACTCTCAAACTTAAAATTTGCTGTCAGTCAGTCCTGCTCATTTCTCTCCATCCAGACCAAGTTGCCACCTTCACATCCCATGGGGACAGTTAGAGCATTCTTCCTCCAGTAACCTGCCGTCTTCAAATACCAATGAAACAGCCTTTTCTAATGAATATATAGCCGTCGTGTGACAAGTGTCTACAACCTGATAGTATTGACATGATGTACTTTGATAAAGGACTGCCAAAGCAAACCTGAATCTTGTCTTTGGAGGAAAAAAATTTGTAGCCTTTATTCTAGGTTTTTAGCTTAATTATTTGCTTTTGTGCCTAAATACAATGTCAGAAGTTACAAGGGTCTGTTTCTCTCCAAATGCCACATCGTCATTTGAAAAGGAAAACATCCATCAAGAGACTCAGAAATAATAATAATTAAAAAATCTGTTCAAACACCATTACTTTGGATTATTTCATGCAGTGAAGCACAGAAATCCGAACATTTTCATTTTATAGATCTCTTCTGCGATCGCGTGCAGAATTAATAAATTGCCCATTTTCTCCGGCTTTGTACAAAGGCAGAGCATATAAAATACATTAGCAATTTAATTTCCTAATATGATCCTATTTTAACATTAAGGTTACTTCATACAGTAGGAGAATTCAGCTGGCAGGAACAACCAAATTTCCTGTTTGCTAGGCAATTTATTCTGACAAGGATTTTCTCGATTAGTTCAGCTGTTTCCCAGTGGGATACAAGCCCAAATAACTGAGTTTTATCCAACTTTCAAGGAGCATTCATTACTTAACCACCAGCTTATATGCACTTTTACAGTGGAAGGAAGTTCCCTGCGTGCCTTATACCCAATTTGTGCCACAGCAGCAGGAAAGCAGCAGTAGCTGTTTCTGTTGTACTATTAGTTTGTTAGAACGCTCCCTGCGTGAAACCACACTCTACTTTTACCTGCATGAAACATTTGACTTGACACTTCGAAGGCAAACATATGGTATAAAAAGGCACTACACCTGTTCTAGGCGAGAATTACTTCTTTGGATGAGTAAAAGTGGTCTGAAAAAGTGCTCATCGCATCTTCAAGCAGAACTGGGTTTGCAATTCAAATCGATTTTTACCACTAAAAAAGTATTTTAAACTGCTTGAACTATTAATGCCTTATTACTAAAAACAGTTTTTCCAACAATATACAGGTGCACAGTGACAAAACACATTTATTTTTAAGGAGAAAGAGAGTGATGCAAGTATGGTGAAGGAACATACATAAGATACTAGACAGGCGGTGGTGATTATGTATGAAATGGAGTGAAGGTATGGCAGTTACAGTCAAAAGGGTTCACATTCAGGGAATCCCTGAAGAATGGTGTGGTCATCAGATGTGGGAGATTCTGTTGACATCAGCATCACTTCTGCTTGGCACCAGAAATGGTTTTAAAAGCTTGCTGCACTAACATATTAGATTATCATTGAAGGTATGAGCTGAAACATAGGATTATACCTGCTGAAAGAGAACAAATTAATTTTAAGTACAAAAATATCAATGTAACATGAAGACTGAACTGTTAAAGCACAAACCAAATGAATACAGAATTATAGTGGAATGCTGTGCATCGTTTCACGATGAGATGACTCATTTTAATCAAATCCAACTTGCTACTCATACATATGATACACAACTTGCACTGTCACAAGACTAAGCAGAAAAAAACACTAAGGAAAACACGAATGACTCCTAAGCCAAGCTGCACACAAAACCAAACAGAACCACCTCTTCCTACTCAGAGGCATTGAACAATCTTCAGTTCTATACTGACTTTAAATAAATTACTGGACAAAAGGGCATTTCAAAGCAAACGAGTGCACTTAAATTCTCAAAGCATTCCACTATTAGATTTGTCTTACTACTGCAAATATGAAAACCAGAAAACACTAGTAGAAAATGACTCATATAAAATAATTATTCTCTTCTCCCTAATACAGTACAGTTTTCTGATATTAGAAAGCTTCTGGCTAGCAAATCCCAAAGGTAGAGACAAAACTGTTATGAATAAAAGAGCACCTAAGAAAAACCGAAAAAACCCTGAGATTATATCTAATCAAGAAGAAAAACTGTAACATAGTTTTCCTTTCACATCCTTATACATAAGCATGTAAGTATTAGCATAACCAAACAGGACTTCAATCTTTTATACATGCCTAAAATAAAGTAACCAGAAAAAAAAAAAAAAACATCTGAAGAAAACAGATCACTTGCATTTAAGCATTCATCTGCATGTTTTGCACACATCATTTTAAATGCCAAAGCAGTAACCTTACTCTTTTCATCCAATGTCAAAAAGTAAAACAGAAGCTAAACAGTAGATGTAAGAAGTCAGTGACATCCAGAAACTCCAGATGTTATCATCAAGACAGACATGCATTTTTCAAATGACAATTTTTTTATCTGCATGTTCTTTTACAGACAAGAGCTACAAAAGGAACCTGTTCTGAATGGAATATTTGAATTTCTGTTACTGGGGTGTTGGCCAAGTCTCCACACAACAGGAACAGCTCTTCACAGACATGCCACTGAGGTTAAAACTTGACAGTCTATCAGCTCCCAAATGCAAGGCATTTCGAGATATGGGCCCTAATACTGGTGATCTAAACATTTTAGTCTTAGCTTTCACGCACATGAACAGCTGAGAGCAACAACTACCAGGAGCAGATGTGACGCTGCCGTCACTGTAGCATTACTGACTGCAGTAAGCCTACAAGCAGAAAAGGCAAGTAATACAGTGGGAATGCTTCTGTTTCCTGTATCTATGAAAACATTTCTTCCAACTGTGTTATACATAGGGAACCCAAAAACCACATTATCAGGGTTCTAGAGAGCACTGCTCACACAATAATAGTTAGATACCCCAGTCCTTTACTGCTGAAAAACCTAAAAATTAAGTTTTCCTTTGTTCAGATCAAAAAGCAAGGAAACAGTTTAGCAATTGAACACAGGACAGTTCTGCAGTAGACAACTACTTAAGTGCTTCTAATGGAACGACATGGAGGTAACAAATCTAAATAGGTAACTGTCAGTTATCTGAAACACTAAATTTTGGGTTTCATTAGGTTTCCAAATTGCATGTAACAACCAATGAATAATCAATACAATCTATAGTCAATTTGTATAAGTCTCCTCCTGCAAACACTATGCATAATCACAAAAGACAAACCTTTTCATTTACATTCCAAATATTCAAATTACATACAGAGTACTTTCAAAGGGTTTAATTTTGCAGTCACTCCATTTTTTGAAGAGCACAAACTACAGCCTTCATACGACAGGTACCTGTGAGCCACTGTTCAAAGGCAGTTCATGAACTGACAAGTAAAGACTCAGGCAGGTAGAGAACAGTGAAGAATATCTACTTATTACTGCTCTGTGAAAACAGCTTCTGCTGTACCTACACACTCCGATCAACTGAACAGGCGCAGGCTGGGCTCTGACTGGGCAGAGCATCCTTTTTCAGTCACACCAACAGAGACAGTCTAATAGATGGATTATCAAACATGGCAACTTGATTTTTTTTTTTTTTTTTTAATTTGCACATAGAAGACACATAAGCCACATCTCACACAAAAAAACATTGGTTATTTGATTAAAATTTAATAACTGAAGCACTTCAACATGTCATTTTGTTTTAAACAACAGAAGATGCATTGGCTTTTTCAATTATTTAGTGGTCCACAAAGTTTTTATCCAGCACTTTTACCTGTTCTTTGATGTCTTGTAACTGTTGCTGCAGCTTCTGTACATCTGCGTTGACATTGGTGTTGTCTTTGTCTTTCTGCAAAACTGGAATGTTTCCGCTTGCTGTAATTTAGAGAAAATAGAGGTATGTGATTATGCATCAATCTAATGAAACAGGAATAATTATTTCCAGTGTACTAACTACCGTCTTTCAATTATCTGAAATGTTAGTCAAATAGATTTGATAATCTAATTAAATTCACTATGGCATCACCATAGCTCAATTCATTAAGAACTTTTTTTTGAGTTTAGTGGTAACAGTTCTTTGACAAATACTTTTTGAACAAGCTCAGATTAATATTCCTATATTCAACTGTCCGGGAAGCAATGCTACTATAAGAAACAGAAAAATTCAGAAATATTTCAAATTACAAGTTTCAAATGTCCAGTGTGAGCATTAAAAACCTGATTTTAAGGATTATTCTTATATTTATCTATTTAGGAGCAGTATGACAAGACTGACCTAATATTCTAATTAACATAAACTCAATTCAAACTGCATACCACACACACACACAGAGTAACTACAAATAATTCATTGAAATTATTCAGAAAAGTCACAAAAAGTTCAAAAACTAGTCAAAGCAGGAGATGTAAAACTGAACAATCTGCCATGAAAGCTGCTTGTACCTAGATGAAGAATATTCACCATTCCTTTATCAGAGTTCCATCAGAAGTAAATAAAGTGTTATTTGCTCATATGCACAATTACAGACAATCTTCAGCTTTTGCCTCATAGGACATTAATAAGTGGCCAAGAAGTCATATATGACTCAGCTTCTACTTTGGATGCTGGAAGCAGTTCCTGAGTGTAATGAGTGGTGTCAGCATTGCATCTGCTGCTACCAATGGAGAAAGCAGTGGAAACAGCAATTGGATACCTGGCTTAACACTGTTTTTATTAAACTTTTCTTTAAAAAAGGAGAGGAAAGATTTAAAAGAATGAGAATAAGAAGTTGGTGGGGCAATGTGAAAGAGTAGGGGTTTTGGAGTCACTCACAAATATCATCAGTGGTATCTTCTGTACCTTTCCCTCCGCAGCACATTATGAAAGGCACTCTTCGCTCAACCACTGCCCGACACTGTACACATTTCTTCATCAAGCTTGCACAATCTGAGAGGACAGAGAAATAAATCAACTCTGAACCCTGCTATTCCATTTTTCTTCTTTTCTACCCATGAGCTTGTTTATTCACAGTAACTATACACCAATGCCTTAATAGATGCTTGTAATACAAATAACTACTTGTGTTTATCTTCACATCCTTTTCTGCAAATCACACCTACAAACAATGTCTTGTTCGGGATTCAAAGTAAACCTGTTCTGTTTATCTTCTTGTAATATACTGGAAGCAAGCAGGTTCCTCTTTCTCCAAATGGATGCCTATTCCACAGGATTTACAGAAATTGAAAAAGTAAAGTTGCACACATTTGAGACCAGAACTTCCAAGAGTCTTGACTACGGGCTTACTCCTTTAGAACAAAGGGTCTCGCTTACTGTCCTAATGCTCCACAGGCAAACAGGTATGGCTCCTTACCCTTAAAAAAGTCAACCTGTATCTTTTGATATAATCCTAGAAAGGAGACTATAATTCTTCTATAAAAGGCAAATGATTATACCTCAAAAATGCTGAAGGTTACTGTGAATCAGTGAGTCCTATAAACTTGAATTTGAAGTCCTATAAATTTGAAGACTCTCTCTCTCATCTTGCTTGAGCGAGATGTCCAGAAAATAATCTTGAAAAATCATCTGCATCTATTAAACTTTTTCCTGTCCTTGTTACAGCTTAGACTTGGTGATGTGTACTGCACTACTGCTGACATCCTTCACCACAGCAGTCAACCTTTTTGCTGTCTTCTTCCTGGGACTAATACTAAACAAATACTTCTCTCAGTCTTTTAACTGCAGTGAAACAGGCCAGAGCAGAATAACTATAAAGTCAGGGATCCAATGTCAGGTCTCTCAGCCAGAACAGAGGAAGAAACAAGACTTTTTTAGTGAGACCAAATAAGCAGTTACTTATGGGAATGATTACTTTCCCTCTTATGGAGATCCTCAGCAACAAGGACTGCTCTTCTCTAGGCAAATGACCCTTCAACAAATCCCTGAAATGTCTGGTGACAAGGTGATGGCTGCATTCTCATCCACGTATTCTCAAATTCAAAAATATCCTGGAGATTTCCTATGTCTTTTCTTTTGCTACACGAGGTAAATCAGAGCGAATCATATAGGGTGCTCTTTGCAAAGATATATGATGTGTCTTTTAGGGAAAACTACAGCCCTTGTACAAATCTGTAGATTAGTAATGAAGCGTATTAAAGACTTACTTATTTACAATGTTCTTTTAAAACACCACTTGTACAGCCAAAAGCCCCAAACAAGCTACAACAAAGCAATAAAACTAATCTGAATTACTTCACAAGTTTTAATAACACACATACTTCTAAAATCTGAGCAAGTCTACTCACAATTAAGTAATTCAGATGCAAGAGCACTTGCTTTCTGAATTTTCTTAAAACCTCCAATTTGTCCTCCAATTATTTCATTACCAGCACACCAAATAATGCCAAAATTCTGACTATCACACCGGACTATCAAGTAAATTGGACCTGAAGTCAGATTACTAATGAGCCTTCAGCAATCTCTTTTAAAATGTTCTGTTTCAAGATTACTTCAAAAAGAACATCCATCAAGTTTACTTACTCTCACAGGCACACATATGACCACAAGGCTGGAAAAGCACTGCTGCCTTTTTGTCTGAACATACCACACATTCCTCAATCTGTAAAGAACAATAAACACACATATGAGAAAAAGTTATCTCCTGCTCTCCACAGTAATTTGCTTTTACGTTCCCTTTGGCAATGCATGTGGGCTTTAAGAAACTCCATCTAGTGTTACTTTAACTTATTCAGCACCTCAAAATGCAACTTTAATGAGTTATCACATTAACTTCTAAAAATAGACATTTGCTGGCAATTTTTATATATTCAGTACACTGACAGGCACAGAGAAGCAGCAAAAACAGTCTATGTTTCTTTTTCTTGAATCTTTTCTCCTTCCTTGTTCCACCATATATACTTAAATTGGGGTTGTTCAGCCCGGAGGAGAAAAGACTGTGGGGAAACCTTATTGGGGCCTTTTGGTACTTAAAGGGGGCTTTTAAGAAAGACAGGGACAAACTTTTTAGTGGGGCCTGTAGCGACAGGACAAGGGGTAACGGTTTTAAACTAAAAGAGGGCAGATTTAGACTAGATATAAGGAAGAAATATTTTAGAATGTAGGTGGTGAAACACTGGCACAGGCTGCCCAGAGAGGTGGTGGAAGCCCCATCCCTGGAAACATCCCAGGTCAGGTTGGACGGGGCTCTGAGCCACCTGATCCGGCTAAAGGTGTCCCTGCTCGCTGCAGGGGTTGCATTAGATGGCCTTTAAAGGTCCCTTCTGCCCCAAACTATTTACAAAATTCACTTATAAGAGACTTTTACAGTAATCTGTTTTTAATATTCTTGGTTAGGGTTTCTCAAGCCCTTTCATGTGATGAACTGTATATGTAGTGTGACCGTAGACACCACAGGCCACTCCATTCATACTGGCCTGGACCACCGCTTCCAGTTCACAGACCCGTTGCCGAGGTTCATTCACTTCTAAGCCTTGCAGATATTACCATAAGTTTTTATACAGAAGAGTATAAGAGAAGTAGACTCTCAATCTAATTTAGCAAAAGAAATCAAATGAAGGTCATCCACAAAGGTTAGCTTTCACCTGGGAAAGCTGATTTCCATAGATTACCTTCTTTAGATGCATAAGTGGAAGTAGAAGCCTTACTCTGCTGCTCTGAATCACCCAGTGGCAGAACCTTTTCACTGGCTATAAAGAAAGTCTAGAGAAAAGGAGCTCACACTATGTTAACATTTGGTCTTTGGAAATATGCATTGCACAACAGTGAACGGTATAAGAAGAAAGAATAAGGGAGTGAATAGTAAACCCAGTACAGATTCATATTTACAATTCCTGTATTTACTCTGAGGTAGAGAAAAAAAAAACAAACCACATACCACAGAAGCGGACTAGTCAAATGTGTTTGGAAAAATACAAAGAGAATAGAGGAGGCTTTCTACAGATCAGAAAACCACTGTGTGTTTGTTATACGAGGTCTGGGTTTTTTCTTGGTTTTTATACAGCCAAAAAGCAACAGAAGGATGGAACTTGGGGATTATGGGGACTAAAAGAATCCTCAAACAGAAAAGCAACAGGGATGCACCCATATAGTCGCAAATACTTGGGAGCAACCATTTGAGACACCTGACGACCTTACTGAGATTAGGTCCCCAAAACAGGGCACAATTGCTTGATACTCTGAAGGAGAAAGACAGCACAATGAAATTCACGATTACAAAGAAACAGAAGATGAAAGCAATTAACAACTTCAAAACCAAGCACGTATTAACTAACTCATTTTACAGGCAAATCATCTTTCCAAGCAGCCCTAAGGAATAAAAGAACTCAGAAGAACTGAGTATTAGCAAAGGAAGTTATACTTCAGGCAAAGCAGCAATTTATCTTAACATATATAAAAAAAATACCAGGGCAGGGGGGCATATCTGAATAAAGCATTGTCAGATGACTATTGGGAACTCTGAGGACCTGAACAATAAAGACCTCGCAAGGTGAGGAGAGAATGAGGGGCAGGTAGGACATGAGTACAGGTAAACAGAAAAGAGTAACACACAAAGTTGGGACAAGATATGATTACGGTACAAAATTAATTCCATCCAGTGAGACACCTGTAAGGGAAAATACTGCTTAAAATATAATATACTTTTCCTTGGCCTCTTTGTACTTTTCCGTTAAAACCAGAAAGCCAACCAATAAACTTTCGAAGTTTTTACCTTTGTCCTAGACTGGACTTGTTCTTTACAGATGAGGCATTTTTTCACCCGTGGTGAGCACAGAGAACACGTGGCAATGTGTCCACATGGGCCAAACAGAGTATCTCTCTTCATGTCCGAACACACCATACATTCTTCTAAAGTTTCAGAATCATTGTTGATCATAGACGGACTTCGGGAACCAACCTGGCCACTACAAAGAAACCTTACAGTCAAACTTAGTTTCAAGAATTTTTACAATTCTTAACTTAAAATGCACATCAGTTGGCGGTTTATCTATAGACTCCTATGCATTCAGGCACCATAAAGCAATCCGAACTGCATTTTCCCAAACATACAGTTGACACCAGAGTGCAAGGTCACATGCTCAGATAAGACAATGTACAGGAACAGGCCACACGAGCTAGAATAGCATCTCATGAACGTTAAAAATCCTTCCCTCCCATCCTAAGAGTTTACTTATTAACAGAGACATATCCCATAGATTCAGAGCTGCTCAGCTTAACACCTTAATCTGGAATACACTTCCAATACTTTGGAAGCCCCAGACTTCTACCCTGGCTCCACCTGGACCTTGGTCCCGTGCTGTCGCACACCCAGCAGAGGGAGCGGGTGTTGAACCCGACCTGCTCAACCCTACACCTGCACAAGCCCATGCAAGGTGGCGAGAAAGAACAGCCACAGGGATGAGGCCAAGACTGATGGACAGACACAGGCACCTTACACACCAGGGCAGCATCAAGAAAACCAGTCTTTCCTTATGACATTTTGAAAGTACATTTTTGATCTCCATACAGGAATTAAGGATGAGAATCCCGTAAGCCAATGGTGGGAACACAACCAGGACAAGTAGCAAGCTGAAACTTCTCACATTGCATGCACTTGATAGAATGACTTTTCACTGAAATCATAATTCCTAGAGAAGTGCTTCTGAGACATCAGACCTACCCCCGCCTCCTCCTCTTCTTGCAGAATCATACAATCATTCATGTTGATCAGTACTCAGGAGGTCACCCACTCAAAGCAGCATCAACACTGAATTCACACCAGGTTATACCAGGCTTCCCCCCCATTCCAGTCTTCAAAACGTGCACGGACAAAGATTTTACAACCTTCCTGGGTGACCTGTTGCAACGCTTATTCTTTCAGTGATTTTCTGCATGTTGCCACCTTCCCATTCTCCTCCTTTCCACATTAACGTGTATGAAAGTCCTGTAAGACTTCTCTAAGTCTCAACCAATGTATTCGTAAATAGCATTCAATGTACCAGAAAATAAAGAATTAATTGAAAGTAAAGAAAAATCTTGTACGTTTTAACACTATTGCTAATAAAGGCACAATGTTTTAAATACACCCGTTAATCTACAGAAAGCTGAGATTTGGAAACTGTGTATTTATGAATATACAAACCTGACTTTTTCTTTGTGACATTTAGCCAATGCTTTGCAGAGACTAGGATCAGGGCAGAGATCGAGAGGAGACTGACCCTTCTTATTACGAATGCTGAGGTCAGCTCCGTTGGCTGCCAGGAAGCAGGCAATAGATGCTGCACTCTTCTTCTCTGCTCCCTGAGTGCCAAGTCCCATTATCAACTGAAAGAAAACAAATATGTAAGCAACCTGAGAGACCCTCTAAACAGTTAGGAATAGTCTGGCCAAAGGAAAACTACTTGCCATGAGCACGTGCACATATACACACACACATATATGTATAAATCCGTAAGCCCAAGGAAGCATCTCTACAACTAAAAATCGAAGCATAATACAGAGCACATACAACATGAAACTGCTGGCACCACTAAGAATCCCTCAGCACACCACACTAGATGACATTCAAAGAAACAGCTTCGGCACAGCTGGGACCAGCTCCAACTCAAGGAGTTTTAAGTGATCAATACCAGAATTGTAAAGGCTCCGACACTAGGACAGAGGCAGGATTTTGTATGCACCTCTTTCCCATTAATTAAGTGTCCAACAACTAACGTACATGTTTCTATGCCACTTCCAGTTTGTGCAATCTATCCCTGCAGTTGGTCTTCTGACAGCTGGGTGTGAAGTATCACCTCTAAAAATTAAATGATTTTGGCTGGATTAAGCATCATTTTGTATTTAAAGAACTAGATGTGCTATTTTAAAACACAATAGCATATAGGAATAAATTTAAAATACCAGATACCTGTCACTGCAGCCCTCAAGGTTGCCTATCTTGAAGCCTGAACTACAAAGAAAACAGTTTTCAAAACCCCTCCAATTGTTCCCCCATCCCTCAGAGGTGACTTGTGAAGAAAAAGGCTTGGTTTGGGTGCATGTCTTACACGTGAAGTATGTATTAGAAGTCTTTACCTTGCCTTGATAACTGCAAGACTATCCTTCTCATCATACAGCCACCCAGGTTCCTAGGGAAGCCATTTTTTTAAATCTCAGTCTATACACTTTTACTCTAATTAGGAGTTCTTATATCAGTAGGTGTTACTGAGGTGCTACAAGACTCTTGAAGGTCACATCATGAATTCACAGATACTCGCAGTCCTGCATTCTTCCCTATGATCAGGTAAGAACCGTACAGCTTGAAAGAATTCCTATCAGTAAAACCAGTAAGTTATGGAGAGAAATTGTTCCGTAGTGTTCAGGTCACAGAACGTTTTTGTTTATAAATTCAGACCGTTTTTCTGCACCTCAATTACAGCATTGGCCGAAGTGAAGCAGTGATTTTTACCTAGCTTCAGTCCAAGGTACCACGTCAGTAATCCAGCCAAGGCAGCACAATGCCCAGTGAAAGCTGATCTGCTCCAAGGCTGGCAGACCTTTTTTAAGGCATGCCTCCACCAAACAATTTGCTGTATTCCTTTCCTATTTGCTGCAACAATAGTTCTCCTGTCATCCACACTTGCACCTTATGAGCTCTAAGCTGTTGTGCGAGCCCTGAGATGCATCAACACAAGCCAGTCTCAGCCAATTCACCTGCAAGGGAGAAGTCTTGGGTAATCCACACAAACAATATAAACATCACCTAAGTAACTCTAACTACTGAGCCACCTTTGAAGCTGTAACACCTAACCGACTTCCATTAGAGTTTCTTTAAGTTAGGATCTAGGCAGCAGCATCACTCCGAATCTTAAAAGCATTTTAAGACTCTGAAAGATACCTATATTAAAATAAATCACCATAAATCAGCCTGGGGAATAACACATTTATTTAGGACAAAAAGTACCACAGACCAAGGAACACTGCATCCTTAACAGAGCAACCGAAGCGTCTTTTTTGTGGTGGCAGGGACTGTACTTCAGAAAACTTCTCCTCCCAGCTGTACAGTCATCACAATGTACTGGATGAAAAACTTCAAAGAAATTGGGTTCACCGCTCATAGCACTTGAACTCAGAAATGTTTTTTCAGATTGAAACCTAAAATGTGTAAGGCTTTGTATACTATTGGGACTGTTCACTACATGCATTTTAAATAGTCTGTCAAAAAAACAACTGAAGAAACCTGACAAAAATTGTTGTAGGTATTACAACAGCTTAATGTTGACATTCAGAAGGAACTACTAAAAAAAAATATATTAAAAAAAAAAATCAATGCTAAAGAATTCATCCCATATAATTCCACTTATGAAATAAGTTCATGGTATCAGTAAAACTTTGTTTCATATTTTAAACTGTGCTCAAAACAAACAGTAACAAATGGCAGAATTTCAATGAAGTTGCTGTCCAACAAACTTCAAATATGAAAAACATTTAAAATCCTGCAAGTGAAATTTTTGTTCTTTTTCAGTTTATTCAACTGAAAAAAAAAATAGAAATCATTATTTATTGAAGTACTATACCACAAAAAGGCACCCTACGGGGCTCAGTTGGTACCTTCAAGACAGCTGTCCAAAGTTAATTAAAATTTAGCCAAGCAAAAATGAGCTCTACAATACTAAAGACTTATGTATCAGATTTGCTATCGCATAGACTAAAGAAATCTGACGTTGTTTCCCAATCTTTAAAGAAATCAATAAAAATTAATCACAAAAATAGATTCCATCAATGTAACTTAAGTCACCATACTGACAAAGATAAAGCCTTACTGCTTCCCAGACTAAATTATTGATCATATTTTTCCATCACCTGTATTTGCAGTTCTACACAAGACAAATTACAAATGTGTCCTTGGACAGCTTTAAAGGTCCGGATGCCTGCACACATTTAGCAGCCTAGATCCTGTCTTGGTTTGATAGACGATTTTAGGCCAAAGGTGGCTTACTATTAAAACTGGTAAAATCCAGTTTATAGCATTTTCACATTACCTTTATTTAAATAAAGGTAGATTGGTACAAGTATCGTTCTCATTTACTATTTTCCACAAAACAATCATTTTCAAGATAGTTCAATCTGTTGATCATCTTAAAGAGTTTTCAGGTCTATCTTAGCCAGGCTTTACTCCACTTTTTAGATTTTGCCTGTATCTTAGGTCGCTGCCACATGAAATTGAAATAAGCAAGCCTTCAGCTCTCCTCTGAGGGCACTTATCTCCTCCACACCACTTCAATCTCCCAAATTTATTAGTTAAGAAAAAATTTTCTGTGCAGCTCAACAAAGTGCAAAAAAATGGCTGACAGTTTGATTAAGCTAATATAGGAGGTGCTGGTTGATTAGGATTTTATTTTTTTTTTAAACATCATAACATTTTTAGGTAATCAGAGATACAATCATGCAGAGATTTTTATTTTGGTGGTGTCTTCCCCACCGCCCTTTTTTTATTATTATTGTTTTAAAAGAAATAAACCAAGAGTGTCATCTTTTTTTTTTTTTTTTTAAACCAAGGACATATCTTAAATGAAACTAGAAGAAAAACTTAATTCTTTGAAACATAAAATTCCCCACAACTAAAATTTAGAAAGGCAGTAGAATAAAAACTCCACTTCTTGTGTTAAAAAACTCAAAACGCAACATCTCTAGTTTCATGGTGGATGCCACTAATAAGATGAGCAAAGAAATGTATTTATGAAATGCTGAATCAGAGAAAAAGTATTTATCTCCTGTTCATTCATTTCACAATTAAATACATGCAAACGAAAAGTATTTTGGCCACCTCTCACAGAGTCCATTTCAGATCATGGAAACAACTGAGCTGTAATCGCTTTCCTCCCCTCACTTAAAAGGACACAAGCACTTTCTTACATATACCAGTCATATTTCAAATCTCTTTGCAAAGCTTCTTCCAGTGCACTTCAGCGAGATGAAGTAACCAGTCTGAAAAACATTTGTTGCATAGTGGAATTACTGTTTGGAACAAAGGCTTTTTAATAAAGTTGGTGGGGGTTTTCCTTGAATGAAATGCAAAAACAACACACCACCTACAGTTAAAATTAGAAAAAATATTATTACACCGGTAATTAAAGATTCAGCAAATCTGATTCATCGTTATGTTGTGCATCTTTAATACTTAAAGAAAAAAAAAAAATTGTTGTTTGTTTTTCTCAATCCCAATCACTCCGGAATTTTATCTCTCCTTTGCCTATCAGCAAAACTATAAACTTCATCTTTGCACATGGGGTTCACCAGCTTTTTGGGTTTGAGGATTTCTTTTTTCAAGAAAACATTTTGACCTTTATTACTTGGTGTTTCTTTGACTACTCCCTTACTACAGCACCATTTCTGAAATGAACTCTGTCAGAAAGACACAGAACAATAAACACACGAAGATTAAGAATGCCTTGCTCTAACAGAATAAACTTTCAGAAGGTTACAGAAGCAGCTAAACAATTAAAGCTACAAAGGCATGCAAGATGTTGAATTGCAGACAACCATTTCAGTCTTATTCTGTACTGTAATACTGTTTATTTCTTTCTGAAAAAAGCTACTTTTTGATTTTTTGAAAGCCATACAGTTTCACTAAGGAAGACGGTTCGTAGAAATATTTCCAACTAAATAACCCTATTTTTCTTTAACAAAGGTAATGACTACATGTGAAAAGCCACATACAACAATATGATTTCTGCCTACACTGCAGTTTAATGCAGAATGTCTACGTAAACTTATGCTGCCAAAAACCAGTTCAACAGTACAGAACGAGACAAACTAGACAAATAAAGAGACAAATGTACAGGAAAAAAAAGGAATAAATAAATGCATTTTATTTACTGTGTTCTTTGATGGCTCCCAAGCAGTATCTACCTTGCCCACATCTTGCATGTCTTGGAGCTGGCGGAGCTGTGACAGGGTGTGGTGTCTCAGGGCTTCATGCAGGGGAGTATCCCCATCTTTATCCTGAATATCCAGCTTAGCACCTGCACGGACTAAGAGCTGAAAAGAGAGAAAACTCAATTTAAAACTCAAAAAAAGCTATTTATTCCTTTTAAAACTGATTTCAGGAAACTATGGTTTAGGATTAAACAGTTGAGTTTATTTATTTTCCATACTTGGAACTCAGCCCTCAATTGAAGCACTTCTCTCTTTCAAATATCAAGCTTATTTCACCAGAAGCCTAACGCTTGCCTGTGCTCTGAGGGAGCACCACAAGCAATGCTATTTTAGAGGATTCTTTCTACTGTCCAAAACCTTTAATTCTTACAAGACAGCCTACTAACAATGTGACATATTACAGCAGCTTATCAGAAACAACAAGTGGGCAATACTTTAGATATGTATATATTCTTTACTATTAGGTTTCAATGACCTCAAAAACGGCCACTTTCACACCATGCTGAACTTTACAACTTAATTTACAGTACCCTCACATTAGCAAAGTAGTTAAGCATGTACTTAGGTTTACCCTTATTCAGCAGAAGGCATAAAACCCAATGACACTACTAAATACTATCTTGGAACACTTTGCAAAGTAATGAACTGCAAGACTCGTCGCTAAGGCTAATTTTAGACACAGATTCCAGGACACATGACATGAAAGCAAGCATAAGGCTGCACTGGCCTTCCTATTCATATTGCCTTTGCATACAGCCCTCTCAAAATTCGATGCACCAGAACTTTCTTAAATAGGCTGTTAAACAAAAAAGAAATCAACACATGCTGACAAATAACAATTGCCCCTAAAAATTAAACCCTGTCACTGTCGCTGTTCAGAAACCTGTAGATGATAGCTGAGGTTTTAACTTTAGTTTTGAGCTTCTGCTACTCTGCAGAATTTGGATTAGCAGCAGAGACAAAAGGCATAGACTAGGAACACCTTGAAGGGGGATCTCCCTCTTCAGAACCTGCATGCTTGCAAGGATCTCAGCCTCTTGAACCAAAGAATCTCAGACTCTAGAAAAGGCTAAAAGGAAAATAGCTTAAAAGGAATTCAGAACTTAATTTTCAAGGAAATATCTGCCTGTAATTGGCTGTAGCTTACCATTTTCCACAAATTAAATAAAGAAAACCAGCTAATAGTTACAACAGTCTCCTTTCAACTTCTTACACTCTCTGAATGGACTTACTCTGGCTCAATTTTTCTTTCCCATATTCATATCTTGTGTCTGCCACTAGCTATTTAGTGATTAAGAGTTTCTCCTGGAAGGGAATCTGTAAGAGATCTCAAGCAACCTGGAATCCTTGACTACCACTGAAATTCAAAGCCTTTGCAGAAGATAAAAAAAAAAAAAAAAAAAAAAAAAAAAAACCACCACCCTTTGTCATGGCAGCAGGGCTTATAAAAGAACCCTGCCACCTTTGACCACTATTCCACAGATGCCTGAGGGTACAACCCAGCCCTGGAAGGTACCCAATAGGAATTAATTTTGAAATACAGAGCCAACATGTTCTTTGCATGGCTGCAAGAGTTATTTTTGGACTTCTCAAAGTTAATCCAGCTCTGAAGTACGGATACCCTTCAGGGTCATTCTTAGATATAAGCACTCAGTCCAACACATACTAGCTCTCCTACATGCCTACCTGCCTCCTCATCTGCTCTGTTAGCACTGTATTCCCAGGTAGCGAGTCAGTGACAGAAGGGCACAAGAGCTCAGCCAATACAGCTGCCAAAGAGCTTGCAGGATGCAGGTGACACTGACCCTAGGAAACGATTCTTTTGGTAGCAAGCAGTTCCAGATATAGGGCCATATCACATGTTTCACTGTAATGGAATCACATCCATCAACCCTTGGAGAGGGAGATACCTTATGGCAAAATAATGCTAAACAGAACCGCAGATAAAAGTCTGCGTAGGGGGTGCAATTCTCTGTAGGCCTGAATAAGAGACAGTTTTCAATATAAGATGACTCTCGCTCTACAAAGACAAATTCCAGGTTGATGTATTCACTCATAGGGAACATCTCCTACAGCAGTGAGTGTTCTCTCTGAGCCTCTACATCCCACGCTAGCAATCCAAACACTAAGGCACATACGACCCGTATGGACAGTGCACACAGGCCAGAATGGGCAAGTTGTGCCACACTCCCATTTCCTTTGCCAGTAACAAAGTTTTGTTAAATTGAATCATTAACTTTTGCAACTGTGCAAGCAAAAAACAGAAAGGGCATTACTTTCACTGGTAAGGTACTTTGTTACTGCTTATAGCTCTCCCAAACTAAGAACAAGGGAAATCACACGCTCAGAAGACTGAAAAGTAATTAAATCTGTAACAAGATGTTTCACTTGGCTACAATTTGCAAAAGCCATGAGCAAGAATAATTACTCATACAGCAAGAGGCATTAAAAAAAAAAAAGCTATTTGAAGGCCCCATTACAGGACCACAAGACTCAGACAAGTAACAGAGGAACACAGGATACTGGAACTGGCACCTGCAGAGGCGCAACCATAAAAGCACACGTACAAAAACGTAGCACTCCTGAAACATCCTTCATATTGTCAACTGACCTCCTGTGCAAGTTGGCAGGTTTCTGAATCGGTCAGAATTAATCACACAAACACTCAGTGACGACATGCTGTTAAATCATTCTTTAAATATTCATGAAGTACCCGTGTCTTAACAGCCACAGTCAGCTTGAGTCAAGTACCATTAACCATATGGCTTATTGCAAACAAGATACTTACCCTAACGATTTGCGTATGCTGTCGTTCAACGGCAAGGTGCAGAGCAGTCTGCTGGTTAACATTCTGGATATCCAGGTTAGCACTGCCCTGAAAGAGAGTCAAAGCATTAGAGCGTTACCACCCCAGCAATTCATCTACAGGCAAGGCAGCCCACTAGGGCACTGAATACGACCCTGAATATGATTCCTACTTTGGAGATCTGAGAGCAGGAGTGATTAAATACTTTAATTATTCACTGTACAGATGTTGATCTGTTGGATGAAACTAGGTATCCAATTTTTTAGTCCCTCTGCACCATGAGGCCATTATAATGATCTCAAAGGCAAGTTTGACCTTTAGAGCTCACCACGGGCCCTTCCCTGCTCCATTGCTGCTGCACTGCAATTGCAGGTGCAAAGCAGCAAACTGTTTTCACATCAGACGGTTAACTGAGGTGCGATATTTAAATCCTCCTGAGAAAAGAGTCCTACCTGATGTACCAGAAGTTCAGCCACTTCCACATGGTTATTGAGAGCCGCCAGATGCAAGGCAGTGTAACCATCATCTTTTTTCTCATCAACAATCCACGGTCGTGGTAACTTGGACAACAATACACGCATTGCACTGAAATAAACACGCAGAGACAACACAAATGCACCTATAATGTGTTTGTTGAATGACAATGAGACAACAGTAAAACAATATTCATTCTCAGAACTACGAAGTAGTAGCAGCTAAAACATGACTATTTTTTCAAAAAGAAAAAAGTGGGTGAAAAGCTATACCGACAGTTACAAAGCGTAATCATCTTATGTTCAGTTCCTTCTCGTTAAAGCATACAAACAAACCATACAATACCTAAAACAGAGTGTGGGAATCAGATTTTTTTCAGAAGAATGTTATCTAGCAGTAAAAATTACCTTAAAAACATTCACAGAAATTCTGAAACATAGGTGACAGACTTGTTCTCCCTCAAAATCCTTAGAGCATCCTTTACTGAATTATTTAATGAGCAAGTTCCACTACATTAGATTTCTTTAAAATCATCACTTTTTAAACTGATGCCATGGGCTGCAACAGTTAAGACTCTTAATTTCTGATATAAAACTGGAGTAAAACCTCTAAGGCACATACAAAATAAATGCTGAAACAGTAAAGCGAGTATTAGTGGAATAATATTTTCATATCAGACAGAGGCCGAGTATAACATGCCATGGCAGTGTCTAGTACTCCACCCCCCTTCTGTAGGCGCTTACCAAGATGCCTACCAAAGGAAGGGGATTTATCATCTTACACCTCAAATTCAAGGTTGGGGAAAACCAACTTAATTACTAGAGTATTAAAGGAGACTAAAATCCATGAAGTCCACAGACCGCAGTGTTAAGGGTATTAATAACACAACGCTAGATAAACAAATTCCTCAATCTTGTATTCTCTCAGAAATACACTTTTCTCAAGTTGACGTGTCTTCACTTAGCTTTTGGAATAGGTAAAGTAAGGAAACTTCATTCCCTTACTGTCTTATCTTTATAAACAGCACGTGCAGCTCCTTTATAACAGTTCCTCAGAGACAAACAGGAAAACAGAAACTGCTATAATCTTGTGCCAGGAAACCTCTCTGTCATCTGATCTTTCCCCACTGTTGAAACAACACGCTATTTGCAGGAGAAACAGAGCTTCTTCACAAAATTCAAACTTTAAAATCCAAGTAATCCTATCTAATGCAAGTGGAACCACTCAGTCACAGAATGCCTTGCAAGGCAGGTACTAAATTGAATTAAACAGTTCTTCATTAGCCACCTGATACTGAAAACGTGGGATCTCAATAAGCCTCAAATATCCTCATAAAATGAGCCTCTCTGCTTTTACTTAAAAATTATTCTCGACAGATAGCAATGACTGCGCTGTCAAGTACTAACGGAGCTCCTAATTAATTCCAATAATCTGTTACCTTGCACATCCACACTGCTCCTAAGCTCTCTTTTAGAGTAAGCCAACGAGTTTCCTATAAAACAAACAACCCACCCCCTGTGGTTCTGGGGACAGCTTGCTCCAATCGGCCCTCCTGAAAAGCAGAAGGGTCCACGAGGTAGACTGCTGTACCACTAAGAAAGCGCACTCCTTCCTACATGCTGCTTGGATGCTATCCTAACAGACCTTGACTTCTTAAGCACCTCCATGTTCTCCTACTACTGCAGAGTACGCAACATAAACCCTCAATTTCACACTTAATACACCATCCTGGCAGTTGCAGTGTAATAGTCTTGTTTCTCCCCAGATTCAGCGTCCGAAGGAACCACAACTAAGCAACTGCATCTTCAGGCCACAGGATCGCACAGGCCCACCACAGGAGACCCACGACCAGCTGCTACAGGGGAACAATCTCCACAGCCAGGCTGCTCTGGAGGTTTGTCCTCTGCACAGCGAACACAAGCACTTGGCCAGGAAATAAATGCATTTCGCAGTTTGTGGGTTCTCTCATTCTTTTTAGACTCCATCAACATCACCACAGCTTTCTTGAGCTTAGTAAATAAACAAGAAACCGTTCTCAACCTCTTAGGATTTTTTGTTTCCGTGGCAGGACTAACCTTCTCACTTCCTCACAGTCCAAATCACTTATAACAAGCAAAATAAGACAACAACACTTAACAGATTGTACATTGCTCATTGTGAACCACTGCTCAGCTTCTATTCATAACGCCTTCTACAGCTCTGTCATGTGCTAGGAAAAAAGACTAATATTTGGGGGGGGGGGGGGGTGGGAAACAAACCACCAACATTAATTTTTTGAGAGATTCACTTACGCAAGAGTTCCCAAGATTAAGGATACAATTTAGTAAAACACAATTACCAAAGCCATACGAAATGTGGCAAAATAAATTAATATTAGTTGCGCTGATAAACATAATTTCTTTTGTAATTAAATGATGTATTTTTAAACCTAGGATATAAATATGTCTCTAGTTTGCAACATCAGAACTGTTTCTAGCCACCTTAGAGAGGGAACAAGTCTGGAGCACTGCAGTCCATGTCCTACCTGGACTGTTCCTGGGCACACCACCCCCAGCCCTTCAGACAGCTGGGCTGGTCAGAGCACGCCTCAGGAGCGCACGGTATCAGCGGCACAAGCCAGTCTAAATTTCTACAGTGGCTTCCCACAGGGTGTCATGTCATGCAAGCTCTTTATCTTCACCTGCCCAGCTAGGTGCTGCTAAAGACCCCATAAAGCTCTAATTATCTACTGGGGATCACCCAAAAAGCACAACAATTACCTGAAAACTCCTTATGGCTGACAGAAGCAATATGACCGCTGTGAGCAGCCAGTAAAAGGTGGGGCAGCAATAACCTAAGAAAAAACCGAAGGTCAAGAGTTTTCGTTTTTTTGGGGTTTTTTTTGTTTGTTTGGGTTTTTTTACAACTACAACTTGAGGAACACTATGGGAAAGCACTAACGCTCAAATCCATAATTATAGCCAGCTTGTCTCCAAAGTAGCTCTAGTCAGTAAACGAGGAACTGTCCTAACCAACTGATGCTATTTTATATCCTTTTCTTCAATAAGGAAATAAGGAAACCACCAACTCCACAGATAAATAAAATTTAAAGTACATTCACACACTTTAACAGATGCACTGAGAACTGAATATACTTCAGAAACATTACTGTTGCCATTTCTTGAATACTTCTCATCTTTGAAAGAAAAGTAAGAAATTAATTGACTCAATGTTTTGTATGCTATGAAGAAATTCACTCATCCTAATATTTGCAAGAGCGCTAGCCTTGCCAGATCCTCTTCAAATCTTTTTCTATTTCGTTCAAATACCAGGAAAATTTTCAACTGAAGCTCAACTGTAAAATATTCGGGGGCATCTTACTTTCATATAAACGAGATGCCTGCTGCATTTTTGGATGCTTTTAAAATGCATTGGTCCTAGCGAAAAAACAGAAGGACCACAAAATAAACAGCTGCTATGTGTAATGGACTTTTATCTTACTTTCCACAGTGAAGCATCAGAGGGTCAGTAACCTCTCCTCAGCTGCTTCTGCCTATGCAAGTAGAGACCACATCTCCCTCTCTTCCCGACTGTGCTAAGTTACTGGACAGCAGGATGGAAGGACGGTTTTACGGACATAAAATTCTACAAGAAGTTAATATGCTACAAACGACAAATGCTTTTATGATGTTTACAGTCTGCACCCTCCTCCTCATTAGCTGAGAGGTAGATTCTTTCAATCCACAAGATCCTGTCCCTTCACACAGCAGCCTTCCTTCCTACAGTTATCCTATTTTGCAGGATTTTCTAGAGCTGCTGCCAAAATTTTGACAGCTAAGTGGCTACTATTCAGAACAGCACGCACTGGAACAGGCAGGCATTGTATCATAAGAAGTCGTATTAGTGAATTAATGTTGCATGCCAATTACACAGTAATTCTTGATTCACTTTTCCACACCAAGTACTGAAGAAGCAGCCGAGCTGTGCCGCTCCATTTTCAGGACCACAATACAGATGTGGTCCTGAAAACTTGCTTTCGTCTTGTATACACTAAAACAGACGACAGACTCCTCTCTCTGTAATTGTATTGAAATGATTGAAAAATCAGCAAATCTAATGGCAACCACGACCATGAACCCAGCTGAAGACAACTCTTGAGGCTATCATCTTCAGTGTATTCAACTGTACAGGTAACTCGGCTAATGGAGTAGCTTCAAAGATTATTGGCAGATGCTTAAAAGCCTTAGGAAAACACTGAAATCATGGCAACGCTATGCCATTGAAAGATGATTACTAAAGCATTTCTAACAACAAAAAAAAAATTAACAGGTATGCTTTGGCATTTGTCCGTCTGCAGTATTTTCAGATTAGCAGGAAGGTGATAAAGAGTTTGGTCCTGTTTCAGCTGGATGTTCTTTTGCAAGTTCTGAAATTTTCCAGAACAACAAAAGAAAAACCAGTGAAAATTTTTGAGGGAGTTGTCTATAAAGCTTTGAAGGGGGTGAGGAAACTAGTTGTTCTTTCATATGAGCTGAACAGATGCTCAGTGAAAAGGGTAACAAGGAAGCACACGTGTGTATAGGGGGCTGAGATCAAGGTATCTGTTGCTTCCCAGGGCCCAGCTGTTGGGGTACAGTGACTCACCATAATTCACATAATCCGTCCCCACAAAAAAAAACAAAACAGTCCAGGTTCTAATAGTTAGAAGCGATTTGGTAGAAGGAACACTCATTTATACTGTGTTACATTTAATCTGAAATGTAGAAGAGTAACAACAAATGCTGCTGCTGAATGAACCTTTAATTTGACCTTGCCACATGAGGTTTATTTATTTATTTATTTTTAATTCAGGTTTTTAGAGAGTCTGGAACTGTGGCTTAACATATATATGATGTATTTAAATTATAAATAATAGCAGAATGCAAATTCAACAGCGTGAATTTTATATTCATGCAGCAACATAAACTGCATCACAGATCTGAGCAATACACTAATTCATTTTTACCCACACAAAGTAGTTGTTTCAACATCAGTTATCAACATTAGCCATGCCAAAACAAAATAAAATCATTGTTATGACCAAAAGTTTTCACACAGGGTGTATTATTCACTACATATAAAACTTCCT